AACACTGGCTCTTTGTAAGAAAACCGAAGGTGAGTCTCTGCTTCGCCACCCATTCAGTGGTTCTCTGCTGCTACAGGGTAACAGGCACTGTCTTTTACCTGAGACAGATAAATATCAGAAGTAGCTTTCATCTTTTGTCCATTTGGAGTAGGATGATCTCAACCCCAAAGCCCAGTGGCCGGAGCTTATACTCCTAGTGTCCATGCATGGTTCACTTACTTAGCTTTTCTAACTTGTCTTACTGGGGCAGTGGCACAGAGCTGGCCTAGCAAGTGTAAAAAAAAAGAATATTAACTTGTCTTAAAATTGTTCTTTGAAATAGTAATTACAATATTTTAACTTTTCCTGCTTTAACATTGCTTAGAGCTATCAAATCCCCTTTTGGTATAATTCCTCTAAACAATAAATATTCTTTCAAATGTATACCATGTCTTGCTATTTATGAAGGTGATGAACTTTTAACTCCGTTATCAAATATCAAGAAAAGTAAACCATTCCGGACCTCAAGAAAGTCACCATCAAAACAATGGACTCTCAGATGCATAGTATATATGTGGCAGATGCCCTTATAAACATTTGTTGAACAAGTGACAACATCCAAAGGAAATATTCTCTTTAGAGAAATGAATAATGATGTCGGATATTACTATAGGTACCATTTCTTATGCTAGTTTCCAGGGTATTGGTTTAAAGGCCTGAGGCTACCATTCTTTTTTCTCTTCTTTGATTATAATCTTCTATGGGCAGACTGAAGAGTCTGTTTGAGGTTGAAAGCAATAATTCAGACAGAACACTGAAAATGGTCAATTGTTATGAAAGGGAATACGAAGCAAGAAGTAAAGCTCCACAACCAAAAAATAAGAATCCAAGCTTTTCATGTACTCATTAGGTTGAATTTGAATTACCTACTTTGAGAAGTGAGCACTTACACCAGAACCGTGTGTATTGGTGGGGAGGAGGTAGGCGCAGAGGTGTTTGCCTGGAAACTGCTAGAAGGGACTCATCTTCATTCTTCTTATTAGGAATGATACAATGGTTATCCTTGAAAACCAAGCACAGAGAAGAATATCGGATTGGTTTGTGAGACGGACTTCCTGAGGATGTTTCTTTTTCATTTTACTTGTCCTTCTCTGGCATGAAATGTTTTTCTTCTCTATTTTCTTCCCAGTTTGACCACATGCAGAAACTAACAAATTATAATCATGAGAAAAAGGCTTTAAAGCAAGTAACAACTGCAAAAAACACAGGAGGGAAAAATAACTTTTTCCTCTTAAACAAAACCAGTACACCCTGCTAAATACTTGGGCACCCTTCGGGGAGAAAGAAAATGTTTACATTTTTGACTAAAAACTTAACCCACTTTTTTGGTAATCTTTTTTCATTATCTTGCTAGCACCATCTTTCTGTGTCTTCTTTCCTAATCTTTGAGATCAACTCTTTGTTCAGTTTGGTGAAGTCCACCTCACTGAAATTACTAAGGTCTGCGGGTTGATCGCAAGGAAACAGATCACAGTTACAGTGCTTCTTGTTGTATCGGGAATACAAGGTCTGCGTATTGACCAGGTTACTGATGGCAAAGCAGGAAACTGGCACCCCACATTTTCGTGTCACTTGTGGATAAATCAGTTTGTTCCCTTTCCCTCCATTTTTCTAGCTATAAATTTTAGAGGGTCAAAGACGATCTTCAACTTTGTTCTTACATTGAACATTCTGTGGGGCTACCTAAAAAGATAGTTTAGCTTGGTACAAACTTTATAAAGGGCAATTTGGTTGTGTTTTCTTTTCTTTTTTTTTTTTTTTTCTTGTCTTTTTTGAGACAGAGTCTTGCTATGCACTTCAGGCTGGACTTGAGCTCACTTTGTAGCCCAGGCTGGTCTCGAACTCAAAACAATCCTCCTGCCTCAGCCTCCCCAGTGCTGGGATTACAGGCGTGCGCCACCACGCCCAGCTCTGGTTGTGTTTTCAAAATGACAAGGTGACACCAATTCTGGAGATTCCTCCTACATACGTGTATAGATGTGAAGCGAGTGACTGTCGTACAAAGTTGTTCCTTACGGAGTAGTTTATGATGGCTAAAGATAAGAAACATGTGGAATGTTTGCCAACACCCTGCGACTCAGCACATTGTTTTAGATATTTTTCGTTTTTGACATATGTGTTAGGGACATTAGTGGACAGGTTCTCTGTGCTTGTTTTACATTCAAAAATATTTTTTTGGTTCGTTTCTTTTTTTTTGTACTGGGAATCGAACTCAGGACTTTGTGCTTGCCAGGCAGGTGCTGTGCCACTGAGCTATATCCTTGGAAAAAATTTTTTTTGAGGGGTATACACTTCATTGGAAACCTTAAACACTCTTCAGACAGACATGTTTTTAATCAAGGCTTCTGTACGGCCTACACGGACAACTGCAGGCTTTAGGATTGGTGGCAAGGAGAGGGACAGTACAGAGGACCAATGGTTTGTCTGGCAAGAGCCCCTGATGATGAACGCTCTATGAATGCTCTTCAGCCAGGTTTTCAGCTTCCCACAGCCTTTTTTTGTTTTGTTTTGTTTTGTTTTTGTTTTTTCCGGTACTGGGAATCGAACTCACAACCTTGCACTTGCCAGGCAGGTGCTGTGCCGCTGAGCTAAATCCCCAGCCCCTTCCCACAGCCTCGTCAATGGCTCCCACCACACATTCCCAAGCCTGTTCTAGGAAAGCCAAGTTTTGAAAAAGGATCAAATGGAGCAAACTATGACATTTATTATTATTATTTCTGTGTGGGATTGAGTCCAGATCCTCCAGCAGGCTAAGCATGCGTTGTATCACTTAGTTACACTACCCTCCTCCCAAACTGTGGCAAGTAAAGAAACAACCGGGCCAGGCATGGTGGTGCATACCTGTAATCCCAGTTTCTCATGAGGCTGAGGCACGAGAATTGTAAATTTAAGGCCAGCCTGGGCAATACAGCCAGATACTGCCTAAAAAAAAAATCAAGCCCAGCCTGAACTGCACGGTACGGCCTTGACACTACAAAAAAAAAAAAAAAAAAAAAAAAAAAAATTAACAAAAAAGCGAGGGATACAGCTTAGTGCTTGCATAGCAGGCCCAAAGCCCTGGTGTTGAAAAATAAACTAAAATTGATAGGGAAGCCTCAAAGATTTCAAGGATTTGGGTGAAAGCCTGTAGGAAAACTATCTTAACTACATATTCTTTTCTGACAGAGGCCTTGAAAAACCGGAATAGAAGTCAAGGCAGGGCCAAATTTGTAGGTCGCTGCTTTGCCAAGAATGATCCACTGGGGCACCGCCTATTTTGTAGGGTGCAGCTGCCTGAATGGGAGCTGCTTCTGCGAGCATAATTGGGAAGGCCAGGGTTGGGGGTGGGTGGGTACCAAGTATTCTGCGGCTTTCCTTTCCTTTGAGCTCAACATCTGGGTTGCTGAGGTCCCCTAGCGGTTGGCAGAAGAGGCCCCAATTGTCCAAATTCGACAGTATACAATCGTGAAGAGACCACTGAAGGGAGAGGGTGGCAACCAGTTGCTGTTCTCAGTCCATCCGGGGAGCAGTCCCAGCCCGTCCTCCATCGGGGATGCAAAGGAAGGAATAAATCTCTAAGTCAATCTAACTTTTTAAGAAATATATGTATTTAAATTTTAAAATTATTATTACTATGCTTTGTGTGATGAGGTCTCGCTCTGTTGAACTATGTAGCCCAGGCTGGCCTCGAACTCGTGGTGCTCCTCCTGCCAGGGTTACAGATGCGCAGCACACTTTAATTTTTCTCTTTCAGATGCCACTTTCCCCATTGAATTACATGTAAGAAAGAAAATACCTTTCTTTAAGAATTGGGAGCTGATCCTTTGGACGAGATATTTAAAACTATTATTTATCTTCCTTCCTGAGCTATCCCATAAAAAAACAAAAACAAAAACAAAAACTTGAAAACTGTATCTTCTGCTCCACGAGACACAGGGTCAATTGTCTCCCTACCTTTGGCCTTCCCCGATCCAGTACAGGACGTCCCGGACCGGGAGCCCCGACCGGGAAGGTCGCGTGGGGGTGGCGCGGACTGATGCGCGCAGCGGGTAGGTTAGGTGACCCGCGGCAGAGCTGGCCCCAGGCTGCTCGGATCTCCGTTCCCGGCTTTACTCCACGCGTCCCTTCTAAAGAAGCCAGTTTTAAGCTTAGTTAGGGGCAAGTAAGAACGCAGCAGCGCTCCCCTCTGCCTCTTCCCGCGTCCGGTCTCGGGGGAGGCTGCACGCCGGGGAGAAGGCTCCCGCGGAGGACGCGGGTCCGGGGTGACTCTGGGTCTGCGCGGGCGGTGGGAGTCTCCTCTCCCCGCGCCAAGCCCCTGCCCCTCACTCCTAGCTTTCCAGGCCAGAACGCAAGGACCCGACCAGCGGTGCCCCCGGGCCGATCCGGCCCGGCCCGGCCGGGCAGGGCTTCCGGGCGCGAGCAGGTGGGCTGCGGGCGGGGGCGGCGGGAAGCGCAGCGGCGCGCGGCCGCGGACTTGTCAGATCGCGCGAAAGTAAACATTCCGCAGCCCCCCCGCCGTCCCACGCGCCCCGCGAGGCCGGCGTGGGTGGGGCCGCGGGAGGGGGCCGGGTGGAACTCCGAGGCCGACCGCACCGCCCACCGCGCGCCCCGGAGCGCGGCGTCCGTCCCCGCCCCACCCCGTCCGGGTCTGGGCTCCAACGAGAGGTCGGGGAGAAGCGGGCGTCTCGCTCCGCTCGGGCTTCCCGAGCGCTCGGCTTCTCCCCGTAGTAAACAAAAGTGTCGCCGCCGCCTCCACGCTGGTTTGCTTCTAGCAATCAAAACACTGAGAGGGCGACAGACTCATAGAAACACTCGAGAATTACCAGAAAATAATAACAGAGATTAAAAAAAAGAGAGAATGTGTGCGTGTGAGAAACAGAAAAACAGCCCACTACCCCCCACCAACCCACTGCCGTCTCCAGGAGGAAGGCCAGTCCCCGCCCAAGCCCGCACCCACTGGCTGACTGGGTGGCGGTTCCGCGCGCTCATTGGTCGCACAGGCTGTCCGTCAGGGGCGGGCCGGCGCGCGCGCCGCCGCGGGCGGGGGGCGGTGGCAGATCCCGTAAGTCGGGCGGCCGCGTAGTTGCAGCCGTCGCCGCAGTCACCGCCACATTCAACAGGCAGCTGCGCTGCGGTCACGCCGCGGGAGAGAGCGAGCGGCCCGCGGCATCCGTGCGTCCGCGTCCTTCTGTCCTTCCGCCCGCGGCCCTGTCACCAGGAGCGCGACGCCAGCCCGCCGTTCAGCCCGCGCAGCCAGCCCCGAGGAGCTCGGGTGCGGATGGACCCGCGAAGTTAAGTTCTGGGCTCGCTCTGCGCTGCCCCGCGCCCGGCTCCGGGCTTCCTTCCGCTCGCGGCGCTGACCTCGGCCCCCGGACCTCGGCCGGCCCGCGGCGCCCTTTCGCCCCCCGCGCCGCGCTCTCCCCTCCTGCGTTCTCCGCGGCTGGGGGAGGGGCGGGGGTCACCATGGCCGAGGCGCCCCAGGTAGTGGAGATCGACCCGGACTTCGAGCCGCTGCCCCGGCCGCGCTCGTGCACCTGGCCGCTGCCCAGGCCGGAGTTCAGCCAGTCCAGCTCGGCCACCTCCAGCCCGGCGCCGTCGGGCGGCGCGGCCGCGAACCCCGACG